GGCTGCGCTCCCCCTGAAGAGCCAGCGTAAGTCGCTACCCTACCAGCCATCAATGTCTGTGAACAAATTCATATTAATAACAATATTTATAAATTCAAATAAGATCATAATATTAAAACGAAATCTGAGAAAAATGACAAAGATTACTATTCTGTAGTTATATTCATTGTTGCTGCTACATTATTGATTGTTTCCATCATCATTTATGTCATCATCGTCTTCAGATTCGATGACTTCCTCTTCAACGTACTCCTCTAAAGTTTCATCGTCTTCGTCATTAATAAAATCATCAACTACGGGAGACTTATCTTTCATAATTGCATTAACATCGGTTCTGACAACATTAGACGATCCATCATCTCGATTCAATACAAATGAGTCAATCTCTGGTAGTTCCACTACTAACTCAATATTTGTAGACTCTGTATCCTGGACTATCATCACGTCATCAATGTAAGTTTCTGGAATGTCCCAAATATGTCGATGTCGAAAGTGTTCTACAACCTTCTAGTTTGGACCGTTAAATAAATCGTCTACGTAAAAAACTTGCTCTGCTTGAGATGCAAGTATGAACGGTTCGTTTTCGTACCACGTGTCTTTAACAAAAACACTTATTCTATTTTTATAGTGTTGAATCATTTTCTTTCCCGGACGAGTGTCAAACCACAGACATTTAAAAAGCATAACAGAATTGTCATTCAAGTATGACAGTTCATAAATATCCTCCAAAACTCCATAAAAAATTTAGTTATCAGGTCCGCGAACACAAACACCATTATTTTGAGTACTTCGATTCATATCCCGATTGCGTGTCAGAAACTTGACACCGTTCACCACACAACCAGGATAACTTCGACATGAGAAGCTTGAACCCGCTTCTGGGCCATTCTGCTTTCGAATATTGAAAATCTGTAATGAGACATGAATTTTCTTTACAACGAAATTTTTTAATGACTTAACAATATTAATGTAAATTAATTATAAATGTACCTTATTCTTAAACCATTTTGGAAACTCTTTCGATTGAATTTCATCTAATGGTATGATTCCACCGTCGCCATCAATCTCCTTCCTATGGTCACTGTTTAACAGAGAATGAAAGTAAATGACATGATTGTATGCGACACAATCAATGAACAATTAAGTGACAAAAGTGAAAGTAATACGTACTCAATGAACTGCTGAATTTCTGGACAGTTATGTAGGACGCACCACTCGGCTTTCTCTCGTAAATGAGTATCCAATGTGACGGGGGGCATCTTCCCAATTGGCCGACAGCGAGTATCAAATACAGAAATCTTTTCAACAATACGATCTTCATCGTCTATCCAATTTCTGGCCAGTCGGTTAAACCGTGAATCAATTCCAGTTAAATACAATGAACAAAAAGTCGGAGCTTCGTTCACAATGTATGCCTCAGCAATCGAACCCTCAGGATGTGCACGATTCTTGACATATTTCTTTAGCGATCCAAGAAAATGTTCAAATGGATACATCCATCTTAAGTGAACTGGTCCTCCTCGAATGGCTTCTTCAGGCAAGTGTATAACTAAATGTACCATTATGTCAAAAAAGGCAGGAGGAAAAATTATT